TAAGTTTCATTATCTTAGTTCGTCTTGGGCTAGAAACAGTGTCAACAGTAAGCTAAAATGATTGGTCAGTATCAGGCAGGAGATACATTCTTTGCGTGATCACTATGTGTAAACAACGTTTGTTATAACTGGTTCTTAAGTAGGGACAATTTGGCGTACGTACTAAAGTTAGTGTAGTAAGAGACCACATGTCCAATCTCGTTAGACTTGAAATTAGATTTTGTGGTTTTAGATACGCATTTTTAAAATTTTTCAGGCAGTGTCATTCTAAAATCTTGAAAGAGCAAGCAGTATTTTGTTTATTGTTTGCCATATTGTTTGTTCTTCATATGATTTTTGGGTTTAATAATTTGTTTTTTAAGAAACTCAAAATGTTGACTTTTTAAAATAAAAGTCTGAAAGATATTCATGGAAATTTATTCTGAAATTATTGGACACAAAGACTGTGTTTCATGTGAGGAATTGATGATATTCGTACATTGGGCCACATCTGACGTCATCTCCTTTTATATTTGTATGTCGTCAGGACAAGAACTTCGATACTAATAGGACTATTTAGTGATAGGACTTGTGTTTTCATTCTTAGTATCCAATTTTTGATTATATTCACAAACTGTAAGTCCTATTTACCAATTTTAACATTGTTGTATAGGGAAATAAATTGTTTTGTTCAAACATACAAAGCTTGTTGGCTTTCATTCTTTTCTTTGTTATAGAGTACGAACCCATGTCACGTAACAATAGCCTTTAATGATTCATACCATTTAATGCACACAACATGGAATTTAACTCACCCTGTCTGTTCAGTTATGAAATGACTAATCCCTGTCCACCATTATTATTGAGCAATTCCAGAAAATACTACTTTGAATATATAATTCCAGCACAAATCAAACTAAGGACACAACAATAACACTGATTCGTCTTCAAAATTTTAAGATTGGAATGAGTAATTTCTAGATAAAGAAAATTATAAAGGCTTCTACTTGACATATATCACAATTAGCATTTTCTGTAAGTACTATGTCTTAATGGAATTTTCATTCTAGAACAATATGTTACTAAAATTATATTATCGAATGTGGTAAACATAATGTAGACTATGTACTTTTATGTGGGAACTCCAATAACCACAACCCAGAACGTAATAAATATTTTACTTCCATGATAATCTTCATAATATTTAACCCACACTCAGAGAGAAAATAGTATCTAATTGTTTACCAACTTGCAAGCATCATTGTCTCTAGTCAGTATCAATGACTTTGATTTTGGATAAGGTCAAGTGTACATACAATTATTCAGTGTATATAGTGGGACTAACTAAAATCTAATGCAAAGTAAATATACACTACACAAGGAATATCACAACATTATTACATTATGTACAATATCTTAATCTTGTTCATAAAATGAGTATTACATGATATGTATCTTGGCAATGTAATGGTGTCTACAGGCGTGTTTAATACTTCAAGGAAGTCACTATTCAAGAAAGACACTTAACAATTCAGGTTAACATTTAGCAATAAATATTCACCATCATCTGTCGTTATATGCTTAACTTTCAATTGAACTTCATAGATGTTCTCTTGTGACACATAAGTGAGTTTGATCCCATATAGCTGATCATGCCAACGTACGATAACAGACAATGCGTTCTTGTCAGGAGCAAGAAAAAAACCAAACATTTAGTCTGACAGTGAAGTGAAACGTCACTTTTTCCCAAATAAATGAAGTCTAACTTTGAAGGGATAACATGTATATTCACTTTGAATGTTTCCAAATATTAAAGGACTCCTGATCAAGTACTTGGGAAATATTATAAGTAGGTTATTAAGACTCGTTAAGAACAAGTTGATACTATTTAGTATGTTTGATATTCTATTACATTAAACAATAAAACATTCAAATTATGATGCTATATTAATTGCAAATACTTTTATGTAAATCATTTTAGATTTGTGCCGATGGATAGGTGACACGCAGACGGTCTTTTTACAGCCAGTTCTGAAAATGAGACTGCACGGTGGGATTTCCTGGAAGCCACCACAATCTAGCTATCAGCAAAACTACTTTGGAAAATTAGCCCTTTCACTCAGATGATGGACATGCAGTTCCTCTTAGCTTCCATATTCCACGAGATCCAGTGTACTTATTTGGTTCCAGCCACATACTGTGTCTGGAAGAAACATACGCCACATGTAATGGACTTCTTTCAGGATCATGAATCGTTAGTATTAGGTACGAGAAAACATCTAGATGTTGTAATATAGTTTGGTACTTTCTCAATACTGGCCATTGTAGCGACGGAGTATACCTGAATATATTGAATATTCCTTTTAATGTAGTACAGAATACATAAATCAAATATAGGACCTTAAATATTAATACAGGTATCAGATTATATAGAAGGCATTATAGCGAATATCAAAGGAAGAAGTGTAAGTCTCTACTACTGGATATATTTCTTTGTTGGATTACCTGAACATTCAGTAAAAAGATAAGATGTAAACCTCTCAAGAACTAGCACTTCATGCATTGCTTTACAAAACTATACTGAAGACAAAAACCTAATATATTTTAGTTTAAATTAAGCAGATATAGAGAACGAAATCACAAATGGAACGAATGTGACAGATGGCCATACAAACAAATTAGCCAATTCACCAGCATTAACGTAACCATCTATTTTAACATTCGTATTATAAAAGGCGAATATAACCAGGTACCAGACACATTTAGTTGTACGTGACAATGGCTTAAAACAAATAATGACTTAAACAAGCAGCAAACACGATGGAACAATGGACCTCAGTTGTTAAGACATTCATTCGAAATTTTAAAATAGCCTTCAGCAGGATTTTGTTCATATAGACTAGTGGAAGAAAACGGCTAATATCTCTTAAGCATTCACTCACTGGACCAAAAGATTACTAGAACAAAATCAATGCCATAGAAAAGGACATCATACAAAAGAAAACGAGGGACTCGATGAGAGACATACAACTCAAGAAGATGGCGACAGATGCTCATTATGTAATTGGACCTGTAATGAAAGATTTATTTACTTTTGGGTTTTTCAGATAAGTGTCTTAGAAAAATGTTCATTGATTTTTAGCAATAAAGTCTGTATTTTTTTGCTTCCTAAATTTGCAAATATCGCCTTACTTCTCACTCTTCCCAAGTCTGCTTTGCAATGAGTCCAAGACCTATGGAATCGTACACACTTCTAGTTATGTTGACTTAATGTTTAATAAACAATTTTAAAAGGTTACGTTATGTGTATTACTGAAAGCGATTGCGAAAATTTCTATCCCCGCCACAGTCATAATAATATAATATAATATAATATAATATAATATAATATAATATAATATAATATAATATAATATAATATAATATAATATAATATAATATAATATAATATAATATAATATAATATAATATAATATAATATAATATAATATAATATAATATAATATAATTTAATATAATATAATATAATATAATATAATATAATATAATATAATATAATATAATATAATATAATATAATATAATATAAAATAATATAATATAATATAATATAATATAATATAATATAAATGTATTTATTGTCGTATATTTGCATAAATGGTTAAACCAGAAGCCCTATATCGCTAAGTACACGATGTGCGGAGGCTAAAGAAAGTGATCCCCTTCTTATAAGGCTACGTTTACTTCATTAATAATGTGACTTAAATATATCATCCTCCCAGAAGACGTAGAAAATATACGACTTGTTCTGTGTGGGTCAGATGACGACTGACATCTCTAGAGGAGGTCAGTTTATTACTGCATCTGTATGTGTATCCTTGCTTTATCGAATTATAAGTTTGGAGGAATGGTGAGTTTCTTACATAAAGATAGTTTAAATATAGATTGAGTTGTCAAGTAAATAGTTCAGTGGAAAAATGTCCTTACTATCCTCTAAAATTTAATGTCCCCAGTGATAATATGTGATAATGAGCGAACATTTTTTTGTGTATTGTTACGACTCTATCTTAAACTATGTAACAGAAAAGGAAGCGAAACAAACAATACAATAAATAGATTACATGGTGGAAATTTAAGATACTCTTTCAGCATTGTGAATTAGATCTCAAATAAAATGTTCCGAATGAATTCCGGTTCTCTGTGTGTGTGTGTATATGTGTGTATGCATGTGTGATTGTGGAGTTTTAACGTAGCTTTAAAAAATTTTCAGTCAATTCGCTACGATGTCAGCAGTGTTGCAGTTTATAGTGTCTAGCACTGAGGCATCATGCAACAAATATATGTCACGATGTCCCACCCAGTCACCTTATCCTGACATCAAGTCGACAAGTCCTAAATTTAACCGCTTAATGCTAAGCGCATATCAATAAAGCTTCTATTACCATTTTAATTAAGTCTTTGATATGAATCGGCCGGAGTTTGAACCCGCGAAACCCGGCGAACGCTTTAGCCACTAGTCCACTAAAGCGGTCATTTGTCGGTAGTAATGGTTATTTTGTTAGCATTTTAGATACACATTTGCTTTATGGTTGTGCTTGTACTCATGTAAGAGGTCATCATCATAAGCATAGTGTGTAGATTCACTCACAAGGTCCAGTACTATTGTTCAAGAAAGCATCATATGATCTGACAAGGATACGGGTTTTTGAAAGGCCAGGAGGTTAATTTTTAATTAATTAATATTTGATTTTGTTTTAAAGTCGAAATCGTTCTAGAAAGAATATGCGTCTTCCATTTGTTTCTGAAACTATGTCATAGCTTTTGATATATGAGATATTTGCCTGAGAATTAGAGAAACAGTATTATTAGCAGTCCTGAAATATATTTAATTGTGTTTGGGAATGCAGACATTAATTTTTTTACAAAGTCTTATAGAGATTTAGTAATTAATTTTTGCTTTACAAGGTGCTTGAATGATTCAGACTATTTGGAATTATGGCTATTACTGAATTACTCTGAACC